GCGAATCAGAAGCGAAACGGAAGTGAGGGACGTAAACAAACGATTTAAGAAGTCACACACAGACCAGTGTTGCCAACTTGGCGACTTTGTCGTTAAATTCTGCGGCTTTTCAAACCCTCCGGCTACTTATTTTTGTCAAAAGCGACTAACGACTAATCTAACGACTTGGAATGGTGTTATTAGGGACTTTTCTGGTGTTTGGAGACTCACATATTGTTCTGCAGTTAACGAGCTGCCGTGAGCCCCTCAGCCCTCCCATAGTAGTCTACTGACAGGCGCGCAGACTCACAGTTGCCTCCCGCAGCAGCTCAGCTGCAGTCAGAGCAGAGAGGAGACAGCCACACTCTCCCGCGTCGAGACAGCTTCAGTCACTTAATCACCTCGTCCACTGTGTGTGTGCCTCTCTGTGACAACCTAAACATTCACGTAGGTCATCATGTCACAGTCTAAACTGTATTCACAAAAGTACAGAAAGGAGTGGGAATCAAACCCTGAGTTTAAAGGATGATTGAAGCCATTTATTGGAGATGACACACGGGCATACTATACTGCCTTTATTGTAAGGGATATTTCTACTATAATACATGATAAAATATGTCTTGATTATATTTTGTAGTGTTCGGAATCTTCAAAGTTAACTGAAGTTATCAAATAAATGTAATGTAAAACTGAATCAAACCATAAACAAGGTGGCCTGTTGGGATTACTATATATATATATTAGGGCCGGGACTTTAACGCGTTAATTAAGATTAATTAATTACACAAAAATTAACGCGTTAAAAAAATTAACGCATTTTAATCGCACTTATTTTTGCACCGCGGAACGTTTCTCACTGGATGAGTTTCAGGCGTACCGATTATACTGGAGCACCAACTAACGTTCATGACTTCAGACAACAACAAACCACAGTGAACAACAGTGGGAAATGTTGTTTTAAAAACGGACGGATGGAAGCGTCGATAAGAGCACGGTTGTGTGCAAATTATGCAAAAAGGAATTCGCATATCACCGCAGCACATCAAGCCTCAAGTATCACCTCAATGCAAAACATATAGCAGCTAGCGTGGAAGCTAGCGTGGACGTTAGCCTCTTTTATCGCGTTCACACCAAAAAGAGCCGGTACTAAAATGAGTTCATGAGAACCTTTTTACCCCCACGAAAGTCCCTGCTAGAGAGCTGCTAGAGAGCAGGGACTTTCGTACGGCTCTCTTGTGAGAAAATAGCTATATTCTGATTGGCTGGGCGGATTGCAAACCACGCCCCGTAAAACTCCCAAAAAGTGTTGTGAAGCCGCCATTTTATTATCCTCGCATTAGCATTATTAGCATTAGCCCAGCGCAGAAACGCAGAGAGACTAACTTATGGCAACACAAAATAAAACATGGGAGCGGTGGAGATGAAGAGGTGTCGGCGTTCTGGCGATTTACTCGGAAGGCTGCTGGGACTCCCAGCAGCTTCTACTGAAGCCAGTCCCCAACTCCGGGGACTTCCGGCCGGGGACTTTGGGCGGCAGTATACGCCGTGAAGTGGTTTGCGGCCTGCCAGTAAACCCAAAGCAGAAGAAGAAGAAGTGACGTCAGCGGCTTCATTTGCCTAATCCTCCCCCAGGTTCAAAGAGTTCTCATGAACTAAATTCTCATGAACCTTTGTGGGAAAAGTACTGCGGTGTGAATGCTCCTAATGGTATACTAAAATCCATGTGAAAAAAATTGCTTCTCACTGTTCTTAGGTCAAATATGTATATGTGATTAAAAATGCGATTAATTTCGATTAATTAATTACAAAGCCTCTAATTAATTAGATTAATTTTTTTAATCGAGTCCCGGCCCTAATATATATATATCTGCATTATTTTATCCTACTGCTTATTTTACACTGATTTTATATCTTATTTCTTACTGATGTAAAGCACTTTGAACTGCAATCCCCTGTATGAAAGGTGCGATACAAATAAAGTTATTATTATTATTCAGATGGATGTTTCTGCCCCTCTGTTCATTCTCTCATTATCCTCCTCAATCTGCCTATAAGTATTTTAATGTTGTAGCTGTTACTATAACCAATACTAATGCTAGGGCTGCAACTGACAGTTATGTAGGCACATTGTTATTGTTTCTTATCGCTAACCCCTCTTATGGCTGATAGCTCCAGTGCCGCACGAAACATGTTTTCGATGGACGAGAGTGAAAATGGAACGCACACGCTATTTGTTGTTTGTTTATATCATGCAGTCTGTTCTTCTTCTCTGTCTTCCGGTTGTTGCCTCTTTTGAATGACGAATACACACTACCGCCACCTGCTGGTAAGGAGAGTTATTGCCACTCATGCACTGAAGTCTTTGCGGTGTGTTCCCGTGCGACAGATGGCCAAGACGCAGGAGGACACGGCGACGCAACAGTCGGCGTCGGCTTCGGCGAGTTCTCTGGTGACTGCTTGGTGTGTCAGGGCCTTTAGCTTGGCCCTAGATTAACAATAAACACACAAGTATAACAGGGTTGCCAACTCTCACGCATCTGGCGTGTGACACACGCTTTCACTCTCAATCTCACGCTCTCACGCTGCCCAAACTATTCTCACGCCAAAAACAAGATGAACCGGCGATCGTTTTTGCTTGGTTATTTACAATGTTGAGTTGACAGCTGCTCAAGCTGTCGATCCGCTCCCTCCCCGCCCCCACCACTCTTAACGTTAACAGACAGTGGGAGACGGTTGGTCAATCCCCGACCCGTATTGCGCATGCGCAGATCTAAGATCCAGTAGAAATTATAACAAGTAAAAGTCTGCTGCTTATTGTTCTACTAGGCCAAAATAGAGTCAAAGAGTATATGAGAGTGAGAGTTCGTTAATTAATATATTTGGCAGTTTATAGTAAGTCTGTAGATTTGTTTTTGTGTGTGTGTTTCATGTATAGGCCTCTCACGATACTTAATTTTGTTGGATATATTTTCCCGGAAATTATTGCGATAAACGATAATATTGTCGGCACCGTTGTATGACCATTTTAGAGCACTGACATAATGATAATATATAATAATAATTCAAGTACATCCTTTTCAAACTGCTAGCCTCATGTAAATGAAATGGAGTTCATTTTTATTTATCCTGCGATAAGTCAATTAATTGCTTATCGCGACAGGCCTATGCACACAATACAACAGTGGAAACAAACATGTGTTTGACTTTCATTAGTGAATGAAACTTTGTGCCCTTTATAGTCTGTGTCCAATATTGTGTATTCGTATATATCCTATATATATGCTAAGGTCCCGCTACTGACACTATAGCAGTCATTTAGTGCGCATACAGTATGTGTAATTAAACCCATGATATCAAAATCTCACTCCAGCCAGGTACCCAAAGTTGGCAACCCTGGTATAATATTAATGTTCAGGAAAGGTGTGGTGAATGCATGGGCGTCGCAGCCATTATATGAGGGTGGGACAAGTCCCCCCAACTTTTTGAAATGATTAGTTTAGACCCCCCCACTTTTACCATGTGGAAAGTCCGTGAATCGGACTATCCACTCGCCGCACTTTGTAGAGCGCTGTGTCAGAGCTTCACTATCAAATCCATTCCACTTGCTTACTGAGAGAATGCCCAAGTCAATGAAACTCCGTACCATGTTTTCACTGCTACTTTGTACTATCACGGAGGTGATCTCTGGGCTAATAGATCTCGGCCTCCGTTACGGGTTGTTTTGTTTTTTGTTGTTGAAAAGTGTTCCCCTTTCCCCATGTCTGTCGTTGATTGTGTGCACCTGGTGCCCTGTGTTGTCTCCTCCCCCCTCACCTGTGTCCTGTTGGGTTGATTGGGTTGGGCATTTAGGCTTTGGGGTTTTGCTGTTTGGGTGGTAGTGTGTGTGAGATCCTGGTGGCTGCAGGCTGTGCCCACGTGAACAGCAGCAGCAGGATTGTGTTCATGCTGTAATAAATGCCCACACCGGGTTATATTGGGGACGTGCTGCCTCTGCCTCCTTGCTTGGTCTGTGCTGCTCAATTGTCAGCTTCACATGTACCAAGGCAGATTCTCACATAGCGCGCGCATGTTCAAGGAGTGTTGTCATAGTTGGACAGCTCAGATCTGTTGTATGAAGCGATGCCGGTAGCAGAGGTAAGGCACACACACCAAGTGTTCAGGAAATGGTTAATACAGCGAAAATCAAAGCTGACGATCTCTTGGTTTGATATGTTTTCTCCCCCAGACAACATGGACATAAGAAAAAAAAATGTAACAAGAGGAAAGTAAGTCATCAGCTGGTAGCAGTTAATCAGTTAACAGTGATGCCGGCAAAAACGCCTCACTTCTGGAGAGGAGTTTCGTCTTTATGTCATGATAGAGAGATACAAATACTGAATAGTTTAGATGAGAAAAGGCATCGAAATGCCAGGTTACTAGTGTAAGCATTGGGTTGAGAGGTCATGTGTTGTGAGCATGCACAGTCTGTCCTGGTGTGGTTAAGGAGAGTGTGGTGTGACTGTACAATAATAAATGGAGGCGCTATCTGGGACGCTCCAAAAAGTACTAAGTTCCTGAGTTTTTGTTTCACAGAATTATCATTGAAGCCTTAACACCTCGGACGTTACACTAGTATTTATCATGTAAACATGGAACATGAATAACCCGATCTCTCTGTGCTCATGTAAACATCATAACCGTGACCATGTGTTACACCTTTAGTTCTACTTCAGTACAACCCATTACCACACATTTTTCCCTCAGTTTTGGAATTTACGGCCGATGGACCCTAATTTATATGAAATTATAACAATGAATTAATTTGACCATATTGTATTGTGACTATTTGTCTTATCAGAGACTGGATAATGTCAAAGTTTAGTAAGGATGCCCTTTTTGAATAATTTATATTTTTTAATGACAACACATAATCACACCTTGTGCCCTCTGGGGTCATTTTTGACCCCGTCTTGCTTGACTGTTATTTCAAGAATTTAAAGTGGAAACCTCACGCATTTCTGTGTTACACATGTAATGTGCCCTTAGTTGCATGCAGGGCAGGTAACAATGGTGTGATCTTTGCAGATGTATGCATTGCATCTTTGGCACATTTTCTTGGTTTTGACATCAAACTGGCGAGGGCAGAATTTGCACCTGCTCCTTTTGGGTGATGGGTCAGGAGGGGGAGCTTGGCGAGCGGGAGCTGGGCGAGTGGGAGCTGGGTGACGGGTAGCTGCTGCAGAGGTAGAGCTAGAGCAGAACTGCTGGACCTCCATAACCAAACTGGCAGCGGCTGGCGTGCGGGGAAGAACCTGTCAAGTCAAGTCAAACTTTATTATAATAAATCACAGTGCAAATACAAAAAGTTCAAATTGTGAGGACACTACAGAAGGAAGAGCAACAGAAATGAAGCTTAATGCTGACCTTGCGTCGCTGGATGTGAGGTATCACAAGTTGTCGTCCAAGCTCCTCCATGAACAGCCTCCTCTTGTTGCACTTCTCCTGATTCCAGGCTGGGTTGATCTCAGACCACAGGACAAAGGAATTGTATGCAGACACGTCGAGAATGTTGAAGAAGACAACTAGGGGCCAACGGGCTGTCATTCTTTTGCACGTGTACACACTGGTAACCTTGAAACAAAATGAACAAACCAAAACATATTCAGAAATATATGTTTATTTCCTACACACAAATTCAATGCATTATCCATTCCATAAATAATAGTATTAACATTATGAATAATAAATGTGAAATACCTTGTCAAGGTTATCGACACCCCCTTTGTTGTGATTGTAATCTTCGATGATTTGGGGCTTTTTGTCATCGCTGTCGCTCACAGCTGCATCCCGATGCAGAGTGCTCATCAGAAGAACATTTCTCTGTTTCTTGGGGAGATAGGACACCAGAGAGAGCATGGGTCTCGGTGAAAGCAAACTTTGATGAGAAACGAGCCCTGTCCGCTTTTGACACCAGTGCAGGGGGAAGCTCAGGTTTATTTCTCCTTACTGTTCCCACCATGAACAGCTTTCTTTTCAGCAGCGCCAGGCCAAGGGCATGTGAAGTAAAGAAGTTGTCACAGGTTATCGTTTTTCCCTGGAGGCCTTCTGTCATGTCAAGGACAACTCGCATGCCCTGATTTTTTTCTGACGTCCCACCAGCAGGTTTGCCAGTGTATATCTGCATATTCCATGCGTAGCTTGACCTGGCATCGCATGCTGCCCATATTTTTATCCCATATTTCCCTGGTTTGCTTGGGATATACTGTTTGAATGGACAGCGACCTCTGAATGGGACCAGGCGCTCATCGACAGTCACATTAGTGCCTGGATTGTACATCATTGGCAAGAGAGACACCCACGTGTCCCAAACGTCTCGAATTGGAGCAAGTTTGTCTCATGCCGGCGATCTTTTCTTGTGTCTTTGTCATCAAATCTTATGACTCTGGAGATTTTATGAAACAATTTAAGTGTCATGGTAGCACGGAAAATTGCCCTACCAGACTCTGTATTCCATAGACTTGCTGTAGCCTCTTTGCTGGATCGGTACACTCCAGCTAGAACCAACAAACCCATGTATGCCTGCAGGTCCATTTGATCCATCTTTCTCCATTGTTTCCCATAAACACGCTGCCCCTCCTTGTTAGTCATGTTCAGCACTGACTCTTCGATGGCAGAAACAGATAAAAAGCGGACTTTATGTCCTCAATACGAGACCTTGCATACAGGGTTGGACCCTGGCAGCTTGTCTCTCTCTCTGCTTTCTCTGCTGTTACCATGCGACGTCCGTCACAGGGAGGGATGGAAGACCAGATCATTTTTTCATTCTTAGATTGGAAATATTCTTCCATCTCAGCTGGGTCCTCTTCCTCAGATTCTTCCTCATCTGTGTATTCTTCCACTTCCTCAAAATAAGTGCGGTCCTCCACTTCTGACACTTCTTCCATTTCTGATTCTACCTCCTCATATTCATTTTCCTCCATTTCAAAACCTTCTTCCATTTCAGAAGCGGGCGATGTGGGGGCTTCTTCAGAGGAAGAATTTGGTGTGTGTGTGTGTGTGTGTGTGTGTGTGTGTGTGTGTGTGTGTGTGTGTGTGTGTGTGTGTGTGTGTGTGTGTGTGTGTGTGTGTGTGTGTGTGTGTGTGTGTGTGTGTGTGTGTGTGTGTGTGTGTGTGTGTGTGTGTGTGTGTGTGTGTGTGTGTGTGTGTGTGTGTGTGAGAAAGCAGGTGGTGCCCATTAGCTGATTAGTTACCTTCAACAGGCTGATTGGTCCACCTGAAGAAGAGGGGAGCATTTAAGCTGCAGCCATGCCGTCACTCTGCCCTCTCTCTGACTCAGCTTCTCCTGCTCCCAACCGTTGCGTATTTGTATCTGTCCTTTTGTATTTCTGTCCTTGAATATTTTGTAAAACTTGAAAGGATAGACATAACTTGAACCTGTCCTTGTTGGACATGCCGTAAGTCTACGTGAAAGTGTAAAACCCTTTTTCTTTTGGTTGGTTCTCGTTTTCTCCTGTTTTTACGTCAGTGTAGGAAAGAGTTTTGTATGTTTATTTTCTTATTTGTTAGGCAAGATTTTTGTGTTCAGAGATGTGTTTGTTTTGTGGGTTGTTGCACTTATTTGTTAAAAAGAAAACTTTAGTAATTACATTTTCGGCATTCACTCTCTCATTGTCTATGTTCTTGGGAGTGGGAAAAGAGGAGAGAGTGCACACTTTGTGTTGCGCCTGGTTTCCCTAGGCCTGGGCGTAACAATCATCAAAACCTCTAATGCTTTTGCTTTTGTTCTTTTAATATGGCTACACATTTTCACATTTTCTTTTTTCCTTCACACAAAATGTGAGGAGATACACACTTCTCAGGTCTATATTTCCTTTTAAAAGAGTAGTAATTAATTAAGTGAAAGTATTTCAGATACAATCACCTGCATAAAAGTGCTGTTTGGAAATGTTCTGCTTCTAAAATGGACAATATCCTGAATTTGAAACAAGACAACAAAAGATCACAAAACAAGTAAAGTGATTCCAAAAGGAAACATTTCTCATCTGATTTGAGCATGAACAGTAACACTATCATAAGTATGTTTTGCTTTCAAAGACTTCACACTCATATCTTATTCAGCAGTCATGGTGTATAATATGATTAAGTACTACACCAAAGTATAAATGCAACTTTGCTTGAGCTTTTAATTTTCATGTCCTTTCCTGGTTCTTCCTCAATACATTCATCTGATATCTTCTGTTTTCAAATATATAGTTGTGCATACGCAAAGCATTTGAAAAGTGTATAGAATATCATGTTTTGTTACAAATGTACCTACCAAACAGTTTATACAACTTCATCGGAAAAGACCATTAATCAATAAAATGACTGATTGAATATTCATTGTTACTTTATCATTATTATTATTAGTAGTAGTAGTAGTAGTAGTGGTAGTAGTAGTGGTAGTAGTAGTAGTAGCAGCAGCAGCAGCAGCAGCATTAGTAGTAGTAGCAGCAGCAGCAGCAGTAGTATTACATTATTATTACATGTCATTTGTTAGACGCTTTTATCCAAAGCGACTTACATACTCAATACTGTGGACAATCCCCACAGGAGCAATTTGGGGTGAAGTGTCTTGCCCAGGGACACAACGACATGCTGACTGCAGTGGGACTCGAACTTGCTAGTAATAGTAGTAGTAGTAGTGGTTGTCGTGTTAGTACTATTATTATTGTTATACTTTAACAGCTGGGTATCTTGTATAATTAAATACATGTTTATACATGTGATATTTTTTTATTTGAACAGTTGATAATATCTAATATTAAAGGGATAGTGGAAATCCGCGAATTTTGGGTTTAACTTATGTATTTTTATTAAAAATAAGCATAATAAACAATTATTTTTAATTTCATGCGCCTAGTTTCATTTTATTTTCAATTTTACTGCGCCCTCTCAATGAAACGAAATACTTCGGGAATCTTCGGATGATGACGAGAGCAGAGGAAGACGGGCACAAACAATGGCGGACATTCAATAGCATTTGCATGTGAATAGCCGACCTTTATTATGGTGAATAGATGTGTTTTGTATAGCTGTAGTGCGACAGCAAATGCAGAGAATGGCGTATCGACGCATGCGTTTCCAAGAAACCCAGCCATTCGTCGTCAGTGGGTGAAATTTGTTCAGATAACACGGGCAAACTTCACGGAGCCGAAGCTGACGAGTAATTCGGCAGTCGTGTGCTCCCGTCACTGACGATTGTTTCGAGAATATGATGATTGATTATCAGTAAATAATTCTACGTGACACAACGACATTGGATTAACCTTGAGATGCGTTTTTATTCCGTTGAACACAACTTTTGATCACAAATCAAAAAAGGTAAGACGTAATTATTGTAATATTTTTGGAACCGGATGTTGTTTACTTTCTCTTTTCTGGCTGATAGCTCCAGGAATTCGAGGTCTTACAGTGCTGACATTACACCTGTGGAGTCTCAGCTTTAAATCGTATATCTTGTTTGTGCAGTTAAGATAGTAATAAGGGCATTTCTACCGTGTGTTGTGTGTAAAAAAGCGTTAGCATTAGTTAGCATTGTTTCGCTCAATGCTAATTCAAAGGCTTGGTATTACTCTTGTGTTTTTTCTAGCTAACAATTGTTCTTATTGTCAGTTAGCGGAGTTTCTTACCTTTAAAAGGGTATGAAACATTAATAGTTTCATAAATGTTAAGAAGTCCTGAGACATGTGAGAGAAAAAAAACTGGGAGGGGTCCACTGGGGGGACCTTCGGGCTTAACTGGTTAACAATGATTAATATTTGTAAAGGCTACAGGTGATCTTAAGATGCGTGAGCTATGCTTAGGGACCTACCAGTCAAGATTATTTGTGCGTAGGGGTGCATCATCTGGCGCCTGGTCCTGGTCATCCTCGCCATTGCCCATGCCGTGAACCATCACCTCGGGCTCGGGCTCGAACAAATAAGGACGTAATGGTCCATCGTCTGGCTCAATATTGTCACCATCGTCGCTTACTGAACCGGATTCAGATTCAGTTCCTAAAACGACATTTTCGTAGGAAAGCCGAGAGGATGTTTCTGACTCGCTATCATCACTGGATACCTCGTACAATCCTTCTTCTTTGTCTGGTATATTTGCCCTTCCACGTTCATTCTGCATAGACGCCATGGTTTGTTATCGTATCGTCTTCCTAAGTTTTCGTCACTTCCGGTTTGGCTGAGTCGAACATTTCGTTTCTAAAAAACTTCCGGGAAGCTGCAATAAAGTGCTTCTAACATGCGTAAGGCAATTATTATATTTTTTTAATCAGGTGTGATTGTTTTGGTACGTAATTATGCTTGTATATAAGTTAAAACGAAACTATTTGAGGTTCCATTTCCACTATCCCTTTAATAATCGGAGTTATTGGAATCTTTATCATTTGTATAAACTAACAGAAAAACGGAAATATAAAAGTACATTAATGGGGGTTTATCAATGAGCAAGCTTGGGTTTGATTGGCAGTGTAGGGTGACATGCTATACATATGAGAAATGAAGTGATCCAATGTTATTCAAAAGTCTCATTTTAACTCCTGTAAAATCCTATTCTGCCTGTTATCTCTTTCACATGGGTCCTGGTGGGGATAAAGTTCCACATAATTTCATATGTGATGAATTGACAGTTTGAGATACAAAGACACAATATAGACAGCCAGAAGCATCTCTGTTCAACAACAAAATAAAACATTGTGAAAAAACTATGTGTGTAATGGGCCAGGGCGTAGCACAAAACTCTGGGCCCTATACATAAACTGTCTCTGTGGGCCCCCTTCCTCTCTTGATCCATGTCTCTCATGCATATTTTGAAATGTATTTACAAATGATTGAGCCAAGAACTGTACACATGAATCATTAGCGGTTATGAGGGTAGTCACTAATGAACTAAACTAAAGTATAAGTAGTAATAACAGTGGTAATAATTGAAATAATAATAATCTGTGCACATTTCAACCCTCTTTCCTCAACATATTGTAGCTTACAATTACTTTACGGTTAAATTAGGTTTGCTTGGAGTATCATGCTTAAGAGAACATTATTCATGGGACTTCCGGTGGCGCCATGAGGTAGGAGACAGGGTGGAAACTAGCTCGTCCAAAAACCAACGAAAACAAGCTC